GTGAAGGACGGAAATGTTCAAAGCGCATACCAAAATCTGGTCTCGTAGGTCAAGCATCCGGGTCTCTTCATCTATAGTAGGCAGATGAGGACATCTCGTATTGCCCTTCTCTGAGACGATCAAAAAGTGAGAACGAAATCGCACTATATGTAGCAGAACACACCTCCGAGCATTTGACGACATGCTTCATCGAGGTCTCCTGCCTTCTGCTTCAGACGGTCGTTGATGCACAGCTGTTTGCGAGAGCCGAGAGAGACCGCGCGGGCACCTGTACCCTCTTCCTCATCCATGCCATCGTCCATTTCGGAAGCCTGCCGCTTTCCACTGTCGTGTGGTCGATGGGTCGGCGCGGTGGACGGAAGCGCTATATTCAGGCGCAGCTTCAATTTCTCCAGCTCGTGCAAAACTTGCGCGAGCTGCGAATGCGTCCGGGATGTGTAGTAGATCTTCGTGCATACCGGCTCCTTCTCGTCCGTCGAATGTGACGGGCCTTGCAATCTGTTAGTCAGTTAGTATCACGACTCTGGCGAGGTGAGGCGTAGCATTCACTTCTTCATCAGCGCCAGCACTGCAGGAGATAGATTGGGCTTGCCCTCTTCTTCTTCGTCCGATTCTGGCAGGAACATAGCGTCATCGTCCCCGTCCTCGGCGGGCGGTTCTAGTTCCGGTGCAAGTCTCTGCACGGCGTGTCAGCAGCGGGAAGGCTCAACCGGTTATATGACAGGTGTCATCGTACCGGCTTTTTGTGCACTCGGCCTTTGGACAACTTGCGGAGCTTTGCTTCGCATTTTCTGGCAGCGGCGAGCCGCTCTGCGTATTCAAGCTCCTCTGCTTCCAGCTCGCGGCGCTTCCGATCCATAGTTTGCTGGAGCACCCAATCCGGGCCTGTTGGTCATGTTAATCGCTGGTATGTAGCTGCGTCCAAGGTTAACTGGCCGTCGTCAGTGGTCCTTTGTGAGGCTAGCTTTCCGGACCGTGCTCGATCTTGTTCATGTTTCAGCCAAGTCAGAGACGAGCACAGCAAACTCAAGGTTTTCCCCTGCAGAGTTGGGTGTAAGCAGAAGCACGAAAAAAGATAGGAGAAACCTGCATACTGTCCCCGTCGGGCTCTCCATGAGTGCAATCTTCTTGTCCTCGATAGACGAAAAGACGTGTCTCATAAGCTGCAACTGGATGTCGTATGGTGTGAAAGGAAACGCTGAAAAGCTTTCAGGGGTTTGAATTTTCAGCGCCATTGTCTGTAAGTGGTGTGGTATCGGTTAGATGGATATGGCTCCAGCTTTGGTGGTGGTTGTCGGTTTTATCAAAGGTCGCATACGTGACACGACGCGCCTCGCGTCGTGGAACGCGCGTGTCGTGTGACGTGACTCGACGTGCGAGCGCTGGAAACGCACCCAGCGCTTATACGGCTCGAATTCTAACGTTTACATCAAGTTGCACCCAGAGCATAGGTCCAGAAGCCCTTGCGTCGTCTCTATGTATTAAGCTGCGGCCAGCTATCAGCTATGTGCGCTGTTAATTCAACACTCAGGTGCGGACGCATCGTAAACGCAAGACATCACCAAGTGTCACACTGTCCGTGCGTGACTCACTGAGGGCCTGGCGCCAGTGTCCGTGGGATGGCCAGCTGGGTTTACCGCCAAAATGATCCCACGACGGGATGGGCTGCGGGCTCGGGATGGGTTCGCGCCCGTCTCGGTGGGCGCGGGGACCCATCCCACAGCCCATCCCACGGGCAGACAACTAGGGCCTCAGTGAGCAATCGAGCGTTGCGAGCTCGAGCCCCGAGAAGGCGCGCGGGCACAAACGCGAGGCCTAGGCGCCTAGCGCATCGCCTAGCGCTTCGGAGGGTGTTTGCATCATATTGCGCGCTTTCATTCGAACCAAGCCTGCCGTGCACGTAGCGCTCCAAGTCCCCTTCGACACCTCCTCAGTTCCTTTCTCTCCAGAAGAGCTGCTACTTGAGTCGACGCAGTGTTACGCGGAGCAGAAGGCACTCCCTCCGATGTTAGCTCATAAGAGAGTAAAGGGACAAAACCGTGGCCTCGCCAATACGAACAGCAACCATTTGGTGAGCTCGGGTGACTGACACACAGTTCTTCATGATGTTAAATGGAATATTCGTCAGAAGAGAGACTATCCTCTTGAAACGGCCACATCCCGTGCGACCAGTTGTCGAGATATTGTGGCCCTCGTTCTGGATGAAGCCCTCGAATGTAATCGAACGCTAGCGGCGATGGCTCGGGTGTGCAAGGCTTACAATCCCATTGCTATCACGCGTTTATGGCGAAACCTCCGCGACCTCGAGCCCCTTTTGAGGTTGTTTCCTACATTAAAGGTTGAGAGAGACTCTTTTTATAGCTACAGTAAGGTACGCATCTTCACCACGCCGCATGGTCCCAGTATTGTTAATGGTACAGACCGTTGACTGTCACATTCCAGAAGTTAACTCTATCTACCGATCCATCCGAAGAGGACTGGACACGCTTCGACTTCTTTGCCCAATCCGTTAGACAGGTCGACAGAGTTTCTTTCTCTACCTCAATTTGTTGGGAATTCTTTTCCCCCCGTTACGACCGTGACAGGCCCATCCTCCCTCGTCTCGTTCGTCTGGGAAGACTCAATGTTTGGCTCCCTTTCCCCATCATTTCCGCCCTGCTCCCGGTTACTCTGCAAGATATCACCTTCGATCTACCGTTACCCGGTGATCACCCCATGGTCAGACATCCCCTGCGAAATGCACTCGCCGCTCTCGCCCTTACTGCAAAGAACGTCACGAGAATTAGGATTGACGGCGTCGACGAAGAATCTGAACTTGCACCGCTTCAAGCCTTGAAGTCTTTCCACACTCTCGTCGTCACACTAAATGAACTCACTTTCGCATCAATGATCCACTTGGGAGGAACACATCTGCGCTGTCTTGATATCAGATTCCAGACCTTCAACGCCGACCTCGATTACCAGTCGTTTCATGGACGGTTCTGCGCCCTGGAAGACCTCCACATATCCTTTTCCTGTGACGGGTCTCGAGCCATCGGCAAGTTTTTGGAAGTCGCGCGACCACCCTCCCTTCGTCACCTGAAGCTCTCGATCCAAGACCCGTGGAGGTTCCGGGTTTCCTCGTCCCACGCTTTTGGAAGTTTGGCACCTGTAGCAGACAGCATAGAAAGCTTTGTCCTTGAGTCCCCCGACGACTACGATGACGATGTTCCACTCCTGGACATACATATCATCGAACCGGTCCTCGCGCTCCACCGCCTTACCACTCTCAAGATATCGATCTTCCCGATGGTGCTTTTCAATGACGTTTCCCTCGCTGCCTCTGTGTCCGCGTGGCCACTGCTACGGGTTCTTTGTATTGAACAAGACACGTATGATCCAGACAAAGACTGCTACCACGGCAGTCAGCCCCCGGTGCGGCCCACCATCCACGCGCTGAAGATTGTCGCGGAGCGCTGTCCCTTGCTGGAGGAGTTCACTTTCGAGTCCGACTTTCAGCTCGACACTCTACCCTCATCGTTCGCCGACATCCCGCGTCCCCTGGGCCACCGTCTCCACTACCTCAAGGTCGACTGCAAAAAAGGCCTCAACGCGGACGCCAACATGCCCTTGGCCTTCTTTGTGGATAGCCTATTCCCACACCTCCGGCTTCCGCCCCCCTTCCCCACTGAAAAATCGACCACAGAGGAGACGTCAGATGTTTTCGACGACGACGTAACTGGGCTGCTTGTCATGTTGCAAGC